AACCCCGTTCAGCGCTGACATTGTAGAATACAATTATGGGTGTTTTATTGCAATAAAACGTATTAGTATTATGATTTTCTCAAAGTGCGTGTGCGCGCATCTCTGGAAAAAATGACATTTCTTAATTTTTCTCATTTGGTTAGATTTTATTTGATAGATAGATATATATATATATATCTATCTATCTATCTATCTATCTATCACTCAAACGAAAGGCCTATTTGTCCTCTAAAAAACCCAATATATAGTGTGGGTGCACTTAATGTGAAAGAGGTAAATTAGGGTGAACTGACATATAGCTCAAATTCTATGTTTTGTTTACATTCAGAACTTGGGCAATATCCTCCTTCCTTAAAGTGACATTAAACCCTCAGATTTTTTAACATAAACCAATACTGTAATGTGTGCCTTACTGTAATCCATGGTTGTTTCCCTTCTTTCTGCTGCTCTTCCTTTTAAATCCGTATCTCTTCTCATGCTGGGCAGAACTTCTGTTTTGCAGCAGACTGCCTTGTCTCAGGAATGGATACATGGTGTCTGTGTATCGGTTTGTATAGGCTTGTAACCCGAGCCAGCACTACAGGAAGAGGCCCTGAGCTGAAAAGGGAAGTTCTCCCCCAGCATGAGAACAGATACAGTTTTAAAAGGAAGAGCATCAAAGAGAAGGGAAACAACCATGGATTACAGTAAGGCACACATTACAGTATTGGTTTATGCTAAAAAATCTGAGGGTTTAATGTCACTTTAAGGGGTAAATATCACTTTAATGTTATATGGGATTCCAAAAAGATAACATTTCCTACCATCTAGTATGGGACCCACTGTGTTGTAACACAGTTTCGCATGCCCCATACCATAGATCAGGGGTGCCCACAAGGTCGATCGCCATCTACCAGTCGATCGCGTAGCGATCACTGGTAGATCGCCATGTCCTCTCCTCCCGCCGCTTCTCTGGATCCCCGCTGCTCCGAGAAGTGAAGGAACCGGCGTCGGGGGACGGAGCCGCTGTCACAGAACTAATGCAGAGCGGTGAGGAGAGAGAGAGAGAGACGCTCGGCCAGGATCTGACAGCCGGCGCCTCTCTCTCCCCTCACTGCTCGTCCGTTCTGTCACCACGGCTGCCTCTGCCCGGGAGAGCTGGGGGGATGCAGAGGAGAAGCTGAGCCCATTTGTGCGTGGCCGAGCGGCAGAGGATCGGTACATGTCAGTAGTATGTACCAATCCTCTGTGTAGGACAAACACTGGAGCGATCGTCTGATCAAGCACTGTGGGCGAGGGGCCTGGCTGCGGTGCCATTGACTTCAATGCACCGCCATGCCCCCTCCCGCCCCTGAATGCAGGTGTTTTTTCATTGGTAGATCTCAATGAGCTCGTCATTTGAAAGTAGATCTCCAGACGAAAAATAGTGGGCGCCCCTGCCATAGATCCTGCTGTGCTGTAACCATTACTTCTATTGGGGTCTAGACTGGGAATTCCGCAACAAGACACGGACCTATAAACTTACTAAGCCCATGACTGTGGCCTGCATCGACCATCAGGGAGGCACCAGAAGTTGTGCAGCTGAAACAAAAAGTGGACCAGATTCTAGCTTTGGCCTGACCTCTGTGACCTTTCCACGTTCGAAGAGTGCGAACTGTTGGGTGCACTTCCTCAATCATCAATGTCTGGATCCCAGGGTGAGGTATCTCCACCTGGAGCTGTTCAGACCCATCTGTCTCAGGTAGGGGACTCTGAATGCGGACCTCCTGGCATCCAGGTTGAGCAACAAACTAGACAGATTTGTCGCCAGGACCAAGGATTTATTGCGCCTTCGCAGTGGATGTTGTGCTAAAATAAAACCTCATAAACATGGAGACTGCTATTGCTCTCCTGAAAATGCTGCTTGTCATGTTAACACATACCTTCAAAACTTTGAATCAGTGACCGGGTACAAAGCAGATAAACAATTTTGCCTTTTCTTCAAGCTTCCTGTTTTGCATACTTTGTGGGCTAATGAAGGTCAAAACAATTAAAGCCAGCGTTAAGGCAGCATTATAGCCATTAGACATGTGCACCAGCAGAAAATTTGTTTCGGTTTGATTTGGATTTTGTGTTATTTCAGAATTCGGGTCCGAAAGTCAATTTGTTTCGGAATTCGGATTCAGACGAAATTCGTTAGTGGTAGTCTACGAAATTTCGTTTTGTTTTCTTTATCGTTCGGTCGTTGCAGCAAAGTGACATTTAAGAGAAAAAAAAGGGTTTTTTTTTCTCAAATGTCACTTTGCTGCAACGAAATTTTGTCCAGACTACCGCTAACCAGTTTCGGAATCGGAAATTCGGATTAGTTTGCATTCGTTATATCTGTAATTCGGATACATCCGAATCTCTGAAATTTCGTCCGAATTTCAATTCGGAACGAAACGAATCGCACATGTCTAATAGCCATGCAATAAGCATTTTTGCCCATTCTTCATGGCAAAACTGCTCCAACTCCTTAAAGTTGGATGGGTTTCGCTGGTGTACAGCAATCTTAATGTCATGCCACAGATTCTCAATTGGATCGAGGTCTGGGACAAGGCCATTCCAAGACATTTAAATGTTTTCCCTTTAAACCACTCGAGTGTTACATTAGCAGTATGCTTAGGGCCATTGTCCTACTGAAAGGTGAAGCTCTGTCCCAGTCTCAAATCTCTGGCTGACTGAACCAGGTTTCATTAAAAAAAAAAAGTTTCGTCCGATAATCGCAAGGTGTATGGGCACCTTAAGAGTGTTTTAGCCCTGACTTAGCGCAACATAATTACATTTATTATTACACAGGTGATACAAGCACACATTGTTGCAGCTAGTCTAATTAGAGGCACACTTTTCCTAGCGCAGTTGATTTTTGTTCAATTATGCCACCACCATGCTTCACTCCACTGGATGGTGTTCTTGGGGTGATGAGACAGCAATTTCCTTAATGGCCAAAAAGCTACATTTTAGTCTCATCTGACCAGAGCACCTGTTTCCATATGTTTGGAGAGTCTCCCACATGGCTTTTGGTGAACAGCAAACATGTTTGTTTATTTTTTTCTGTAAGCAATGTCTTTTCTCTGTCTTCTCTTCCATGAAGGC